TAATCCCTGGAAACAGTTTTTAGACCAGTGAATTATTATTTCTTCATATTTTTAAAGTTTTACTAAAAGTGAGGTTTTCCAATAGATTTCCATTCATAGAAGAAGCTAGGAAGGACTTGCAGGTATTTTCCTATTTATTTAGTGAAAATCCAAATTCTTCCACTTTAACCTTGATGTGAAAATGAGTCAGTTGTAGGATCAGAGAATGCAGTTTCCCTTACTTGAGTGGAAATTAAGCAGAAACTCTTTTCCTGTAAAGACTGAAGCAAGAGCAGGTTTTGTGCCATAGGTCACATGTATTCCCCATCATGGAAGAAAAGGAAAGATGAGACTAAGACACCTTAGCAGAAGTATCTCATTACTTTTGTACAGGATGCTTTGGCTGCTTGCCTAGCCAAAGAGTTACAAAAAAGTTACTACAATGATTTGATTACATTAATTTTCTTTTGTTATTTCTTTCTTATCCTTAAAATTTTTATCTTTTTTCAAAAATATTTTAAAGTACAGAGATTTTTTATTCTTTCTTTCAGTTTCGAATTTTCTCCCTATCCCTTCTTTCTCCCCTACCCAATGAGAAAGCAAGAAAAATGATACTTATTACAAATGTGTGTAGTCATGCCAAACAAATTTCTTTATTTGTCATCTCAATTCCATTAACTTTCAATAACTGGTCATTTCCTTTAAACTCTTGCCTTACTGAATCCTAGTAACACCTTCCTTACTTTCAGAAATGAACCACATCTTACCAATTTTTTATGGGATATGTGTCAGTTCTTAACCCAACAAGTGAAGTCACAATTTGCTTGGGTGTTTTATTACTCTATTTTTATTCCAAGGTGCTTTTCACAGTCTGCTTTTTAAAAAGGCATTTCTTCAGCTGAAATATGCATCTCGTATAACTTTATTGCATTTGCTTAGAGTTGCTGAGAGTACAAATTTATCTTTCTTACCAATAGGTGACTGGTTATTCGCACATTGGGTTTTACTGGGTTGAAATTGCCAGTATTTCTTTTTCCTTTGTATTTTATAGGATAGAGCTGCTGAAATTGGTCATACAAATTCTTTTCTCCATGTGATCACCAAAGTAGGCACTCATGTGGTAGTTCTGGCTAACAAGCCTTTGTTTCTCGTGACTTGTAGAGACAACTTTAGTTTCTGTGTACAGTTGAAATAATGGTTTTGTTAGCGGATATCTAAAGGTACGTTAGGCCACATGTCTGTCATTTAAATAGCACTAGGAAAGCTATTCCTGGTTGCCATAAGTGTATCACATGCCCCATGTTTCCCTGGTCCAGATGAAACAGGCCTAGGGTAGAATCTGACCACTTATTCATCTGACAAGGTATACTTTCTTGTTTGTTTTTCTAGACCATTAGTCACTCATTTTAAGTGCAGCTCAGTCAAGTGTTGGCAGTTTGCTTCCAAAACAAACACATTGAATCTGAGGAAAGGAAAATAGGGGCAAGTATTTAAAAATATAAGGTTGTGAGTATGTATTAAGTTATTTTTAGCTTTATTACTAAGCTCACAACTGCCACAAAATGCCTAATCATAGATGAGATTTTATTGAATATTTTGTTAAAAGAAATTAGTTATTCCCAAAGCCCAAATAGCTCTGAGAATTCACAGACATGATTTGTTAATGTTGCTAGGTTAAAGGCAAGAATCTCTGCTCATAAGCAGCATAATTATTTTCTATCCCACCTGAGAAACAGTATGATGATGAATTTTAAATATTCCTTTCAATATTGATATGGTTACTGAAAATAAAATACATCTTTGTCTTGGAGTATTGATATAAATTAAACTTTATCAATGAACTTATATGCTTATTTCTGTTAATAAATGTAGTATTTTCTTTGTCTTTTTTTCTCTCAGTAATTAAACAGGGCATTTATGTCATTAATCATACTTTTTTTGAACATAATCATTTAGCATATTTCAAAAATACCTATGTATAAGTAGAGTTTTATCTAAATGTCTTTATAATCATTCACTTGTGAGGTAGGGAACATCATTAAAAGACTGAAAAATGCTTGTGAAGTTAGGCTTTTAACTAGAAATCTTAGATTTTAACTTATAAGGGAATTATTGTACATTTCAGGAATAGAACTTCATGTCACCATCGGGTTTTGAAACTATGGCGAATAATTCTGTTGCTCCTCTGTGAAGTCTATATTATTGCATACTAGAAGCAAAAGATTGAAAAAAATCATTATCATTTTTTCTCAGTCATAATTGGAGGCAGCTAGGTGGATAGATAGAGTGCTGGTCCTGGAGTCAGGAAACCCTGAGTTCAAATGTGATCCTAGACACATACTCACTTGTCCCTGGGCAAGTCACTTAACCTCTTTTTACCTTAATCCATTGGAGAAGGAAATGGCAAACCATTCTGGTATCTTTGACAAGATAACCCCTTGTAAGGCCACAAAGGGTTAGACAAGATTGAACTACAACCATAATTGGATAAGAGATTAGACATTTAATTAGGTCTTAAGAGCTTGAGAAACCCAGTTTCTTGCTTTCTTGTTCTTCCTTTATGTTGATTTTTACTTTAACCTTTTAGATAACATGTTTGAGCCTGTAAACTTTCCCAGAATCATGCAATAAAGCTTATGTTTGTGCTATTGGTTTTCCATTAAAGTAACTACAAAGCTAGCTGTTTTCTTCAATAAAGGAGAGGTTTCCCGGGTAGTGTCTATCAGAAAATTTCCCAAAGAATTATCAGAAAGCTATAGGCACTGGCTTTTGTACATGTAGTAATTATTAAGAGGGACATCTTGGTGACTTTAGAAGACCAAAACAAATATGAGAAATCTTTTTGTAGTTGGAATATATAATTGTCATGATCATGTGGAAAGGGAACTGGCTCTGGGCTCAGAGAATTTGGATACAGATTCTGTATTAGACTTGTGTCATCCAGGGCCAGTCACTTAATCTTTCTAGACCTCAGTTTACTCATCTGGGAGGTAAAGGGGTTGATGTAGATGCTCTCTGACATCCCTTCTAGTTCTAAATGGATCTTAAGATCATCACCATAATATGCATAGATAGTGTTTTATAACATACATGTTTCTTCATTTCATCCTAATGATAGTTCTAGGAGGTAAATAGTAATATTCGTACCATTTTATAGATGAAGAAACTGAGGCTCAGTGGGATTAAATCATTTCCTCAACATGCCAGTAAGTGGAGATGGGCTCTGAATGCAGGTCTTCTAACTCAGATGCAAGTATTCTCTACACTATGGTTTACAGATATATGAATAAAAATGAGAAATTTGTTATCTACTGACAAGCAAGTATTAAACATCAATTATGTACCAGGCACTATAATAGGCACTGATATTAGAAGTAGGAGTAATGAAAAAATCTTTGAAAGGAGTTTACATTCTAATGGGGAGGCAACAGGGGCATATGAATATAAAATATGTATGCATGTATATCATATCTCACACTTATTTAACGTCTACTATGTGCCAGGCATTGTATGTGTGTGTACACGTGTGTGTGTGTGTATGTATATATACATATACACACATATATACATACATATATTTACTTATTTATATTGTATTTTATTCTCTTTATATATTCTATACTCAGAAAAAAGAAAATAAATGTAAATATATACAATACAGTTAAATAAATGTGTGTTTATGTGCATGTGTGTATATGTTCCTGTTGCCTCTCCATTAGAATGTAAACTCCTTTCAAAGTTGGATCTGTTCTTCCTGTCCCAGTGCCTAGTACCTGGATACACACACGCACGCACACACACACACTCACACACACACACACACACACACACACACACTGTGTATATTTACACATACATATATGTACATATTAAATGTATCTATAGGTCTGCATATATTAAAAGGAAAATAAATGTAAACATACACATATATACATGCACACATATTTACATATATTAATTAAACACAAAATAGTTAAGGAAAGAGTGCACTAATATTTAGGGGGAATCAGGTACAACTTCAAGCACAGGGTGAAATTTGAGCTAAGTTTAGAAGGAAGAGAAGGATTCTCTGAGACAAAAGTGAAAAGGGAAGGAATTTCAGGCATGGAGTAGGGAGGGGATAGTGCAAATGCATGCAGATAACAGATAGTGTCCTATGTGAGGAGCTAAGAGAAGGGCTGGATTACAGAGTGCAGAAGACGATGTGATGCCCAATGAAACTGGAAAGATAGGATGTGGGCCAGTTGTAAAGGGCTTTCAAAGCTCAACAGAAGAGTTTATGTTTTATCCTAGAAGCATAGCAACTATTGGAATTGATTGAGTAGGGAACTCACATGGTTAGATCTGTGCTTTAGGGAAATTATTCTGGCAGCAGATGTAGGCTGGACTGGAGTGGGAGAGATTTGAGGTGAGGGGAACCATTTAGGAGACAGCTGCAATAATTTAAATTATGAAATTATTAAATAAATGTAAATAAGGTAAGGAAAGAGCTTTATGTTTGTTTCAGGTAAAAGTAATGTGATCAAGAGATAAAAACAGATAATAAGAATAAAAGGAAAGTAAAAAAAAACATTTAAAAAGTGAATTAATTTAATATTTTGACATTCCAGTACTGGTGCTTTAGCATAAATCCAACCTTCAATATTTGCACCTCAGGTCTTCTGTACTCTCATGGGATCTCACCTAGAGCACAAGGATGTGTCCAAGGAAGGAGGTGAGCCAAGGCTCAAGTCACAAGAAGCCAGTGATGACCTTAGTGCTGGTGTCAAATCCTACAACTAAATCCACTGGCACCCTTCACTAAAGCCATTTAAATATCCGAAACAGAAAGGACACAGGCTAAGCAGAGAATGACGATTCCAGAGAAGATGAGTAAGAGCAATCAACAATTCCAGATATGCATATTGCCTCAACATTTTTGCACGTCAGAAGAAATAAACTTTTCTGTTTTTCATTTCGTTCCAGCATCATAGCCCTTTCTCATTTATTATGTTCTTTGATTTTTTTTTTAATTTTTGCAGGCCTTTATCCTAGTGCAGTGCTTTCCTATGAAGCACATTCAAGCTGAATCTTGGAATAGAACAGGCTGCTTGTGCCTAGAGAGCTAATCTGTGAGTATGTCCTTTTGGTTTGTTACAATGATGTTCTTTTATCTAATTTCTCTGAATCCGATTCTCCACTTAATTAGTGGTCTACAAATGAATGGCATTCTTGGCCCAACTTAGGAAGTTGAACCATGGTAATATAGGGTGATAAGGGTTGAGAAACTCACAAACATACCAAGTTTAATTATAATTTTTCTTATTATTGTGATTAGTAAACTTTTATTCATATATGTACATATATATATATATTTAACAAAGAGGTGATCCAATATTCTTATACAAACTCTTTAATCCATAAACAGTGTCCTGAATCAACCAAACCATATTTATATATTCACATACTTATTATGTGAGGCCTCAATAAAGGCAACCTACATTGACATATTAATAAAATTACATGGCAAATTCATAGGGGTGCAACAAGAGTATATTAAAAGCTAATTGGAAGACAAACTATATCCCAGAACTCTCCCCTCTCATCTCAAAGTGGATTCTCAACCCCACACATGACCAGAATTACTTTGGCCTGACAGATATTTACCAGACTAGGGAAAGTCTGAGATCAGCTGTCTTAAAAATAGCTCCAGATTGGGCCTCCAGAAGTAGGAGCTGAAACTGCCCAACTAGATTATTGTCAGTGAAGGATTATGGAGGGAATCCTTTGACTTCAGGAACCTTTAGCATGTTTCAGCCCATTTTTTAAACAGTATATCTTTAAAAAATGTGTATGGTAATGCATGCATACATACACAAATATATATACATTAATATACATACCTATGTTAATACATAGATATTGCCAACTCTGGTGCTTTGTTGACTTTGTAAACTCAATTATATATGGTGTTCCCTCATTTGGTTCAGATGACAACATATCCCAGGTGATTCTTGCTCATGTTTTTCCATGCATTCAAGCATAGAAAATCTACCTAGAGTGACAGAGGCTTCATTCTAGGCTTCCATGCCTTATGGTACCTTTGTTATAGAGTTTAGGCTTTCTCTCCATTTTCCAGTGCCCTTGATAATGGGTAGCTAACCTTTTCTGCATCTTCGGTTGATGATATTCTTGATGCTACCTCTTGTGTGTTGACGACTGTCAGAAATATGAGGCAGTTTACTTGTGTGTAACGTGTAGTCTCTCCAACTCTTTTTGGGTCAGTTGCAACTTTAGAAATTTTGATGTCGCAATATTTTCAACCACACAGAATCACTGGGAAAAATGTTTTTTGGTTAACCAATGTGTTTTTACACATTGGAACAGCTTGGACTTCTTGAAAGCACTGCTTTCTCAAATGCAAAGTTGCCTGGACTATTCCTCTTATTTAGTCTTTGGTGAAACTCACTTTCTTTTAGAAGGATGTTGTCTCTATGAAATTCCCATCACAAATAATGATGTATTAACTTAATAAACTGACCAACCAACTTTATCATTTCATAATCTGGACCTTAGGATTTGGCGTTCAGTTAGGGGTGGTGGTTGTTGTTTTTCCTGCATTGTCTTGTTATGTTTTGAAACATGAAGTAGTTCACACAATATCATTTGAAAATAATAGAATTGAAAGGACCTGACTACATCTAGGGAATTCCACTTTCACTGAACATCCTCAGTGAGAGTTGCCAATGCATTTGGAATTTTTTATTTTATTACTTATTTGATAGCATCAGTCTACATGTTAATATGTATACAAAAACTGAACATATGTACATGCACATTCATGTATGTATATGTGTGTTTCATAATAATAATAATAAAAATCAATAATCACAGCTAACAATTATATAGTGCTTACTATGTGCCAAGGCAGCTGGGTGGTGCCATAGTGCATAGTGTTGGGCTTGGAGTCAGGAAAACTCATCTCCCTGAGTTCAAATCTGGCCTTGGACGCACACTAGCTGTGTAACCCTGGGCAAGTCATTTAACCCTATTTACCTCAGTTTCCTCATCTATAAAATGAGCTGCAGAAGGAAGTGGCAAACCATTTCAGTATCTTTGCCAAGAAAAGCCCAAATGGGTTCACAAAGAGTGGGACATGCCTGAAAAATGACTGAACAATGACACATGCCAGGCACTATGCCAAGCAGTTTACAATTATTATCTTATTTGATTCTCACAACAACCCTGGGAGATTTTACAGATGAAGAAACAGAGGCAAATGGCAGTTAAGTGATTTGCCCAGAGTCACACAGTTAGTCAGAATCTGAGGCCAGATTTGAACTCAGGACTTCCTGAGTTGAGGCCCAGCTCTCTATCCAGAGCCTCATCTAGCTGTCTATATAGGCATAGGTATATATAGTTTGAGGACATGTGATATCATCCCTTTACAACCCTGATATGCCTAAGTATATTGCGTTCACAAATAGCTATATGGCACAAATCACTTCCCATCCTGTGGCAAAGCTTCTGGTGATGATCAGCCCCTCCAAATAAGTTGAGTCAGTGTCTGGTTATGAAACATCATGTCTGTTTCCAGGAGGAACTTTGAAAGTCTGTGATCTTTTGACACTGGAGCGAGATTTAATGGCAGACACACAGACACAGGCACACATCTGTGTTTAGGTTTAGGGTCCTCTTTATCAGGAACAAGTGCAGATCATCATTTTCTTTACTTAAAATTGGAGAGTTGCTTGAGGCACTAAGAGGTTTAAGAGCATGGTTCCAGGGGCACACAGGCAGGTTAGGACAGAAACAGGAATTGAGTCCAGATCTTCTCACCTCTGAGACTAGTTCTCTCTATCCAATAAGCAATGTTTGATTGGCATATGTGGGTGTGGTTATAAGATCTTATAAAATTATATATATACACACACACACATATACGCATCCTCACATATATGTGTACATATACACATATGTATTCACATTTATGTTCACATACAAATATATATATGCATCCTCTTCTCTCTTTGTATGTATGCAAACATACTATATGTTTATATATTATAAGAAGAAAGGAGAATGAGATAGAGCTGCATGGAGACAGAGATACAGGGAAAGAAATACAGAGAAGGAGTGAGGGACAGAGGGAGAGAGGCATGGAGAAAGGGGGGCAGAGGGGAGAGAGAGAAAGAGTATAAATATGAGAGAGATATAGAATGCCATAGTGAATTGAAGTCAGGAAGATATGTTATAATCTGTAACCATTGACTAATAGCAATGTCTTAGTGTTTTTCGCAACTCTTAAGACCATAAAATGTAGAGGACTTGCTGGTCTTCATTCATGGAGTTTTTATGCCTTAAGTTCTCTATGCTAATGAACTTGAAGATTGAGATAAAAACACACACACATGTATGCATGTGTTCGAGTGTATGTATGTGTGCATGCATTCAAAATTCCTTGTGGTAGGGAAGTGAGTTGGGCAAAATCATACACTTCTTCAATACTCATTCCTCCTTACTTACTGGCAACTCAAGTTTCCTTCAAGGATAGGTTGATGTCTTTTCCAGGGAACAGAACTGTTCGTATTTCCAGATTGGTTAATGTTCAGATTAATTTTTACTTTTCCTATTGCCTCCATATAAAGTTTTAGCCTTCGTCCATGCTTTTGAGTCAAATGTGTTGACTTATATACTGCTGTGTGTGTGTGTGTGTGTGTGTGTGTATGTGTGTGTGTGTAGAGAGAGAGTCAGAGAGTCTTCATGATCTTTTTCTTTTAATTTTGTTTTTGTTTTTGTTTTTGTTTTAATCAGACCCATGATTTCACTGGTTTAGGGAACTCCTATTAGGATGTATCCTTCTACCAGTGCAGATAGAAACTTGCAACTTTACAGAGTTGTCTGGGGGGTGGTAGCAGCACTGGGATGGGGAACATTGAATGACTGACCTAGAGAGTCACATAACTAGTTTATTTCAGAGGCAGGAATTCAGTCTAGGTCTTCCTGATGGAGGTCTGCTCATCCTATCCACTATGCCATGCTTCCTCCTTTTTATACTAGAGTCAAAAAATAGCAGTTGGCACAGTCTTTTTCAAATATTGTACAACCCTGTTTAATTGTGGTGTTTACAGCTCAGACTAAAAACTATCTCATAGAGATGCCATAGACTAACCATGTTGTATCAGCCTTTTAAGACTCAGAGATATTATTGGGCTCATTATATTTGAATTCATGTAATAAAATACCATGTTTTAAAAAGTTCTACTCGATTTCTAGAAACTAAAAACTGGAAGAGATGAAGTACAAACCCTAAGTAAATTGGAGAGATCATTGTGATGATGACTTTAAAAAAAATGTCCATTGGAACAGGAAAATGAAGTACAGCTGGGTAGTATATAAATAGGGGCGGGCATACTTCCCCTTTGTGAGTTCAGCTGGATCCCCAGGAGAGGGGAGCTCATTGATAAGGCTGTAACCTGTGGGCAGGTGGTCAAACAAAGGACAATGAAGCTCTTGGGCTCCACTTTCCAGGAAGAAATTTGAAGAAGTCTGTTTTACCTAGGGAAAATACTGACTGTTGGGGGGAAAAATGAATATAAGATTAAAATCTACCTCAAATAATAAAGTGACTTTTTTTTTTTAAAGGAAGACAGTGCTTTGGGACTGATGCCATGTGCCAATGTCTTAGAATTATTATAAAAGGTTATGATTTTCTGTGGAGGACTCTGTAGAATTGAATTAGACAATTTTATTTTGTAGAAGCTTTACTTTTTATATCTTCAATTAATCCTTATTTTGGATGGATTCTTATTTTCTTAAGAAGAACATCAAACATTATCTCATGTAAGCGGTGGTCTAGCCAGTAGACTTAATGTTCCCTTAAACACCATTACCACATTGCTTGTGCATTTCTAATGCTTTTTTGTAATGTCTTTAGAACTGAAAGAAGTAATCTCTCTTGATTTCACAAATGGTAATGAAAAATCCACAGCACATTAAGCTGCCTTTAATAGTCCCAGTGGCTATAGCAACAGACAGCCACAATACACTTAATCATGTTATTACAGTATAACCCACAAGTTGGGAGATTTTCATGACAGTTATTAGAATATAATGTCACTCCTTCTGAATC